GGTATATGTAGTCAAAGGGTTGAAAGCCGTGCTCAATGTCCTCCTTGTCTATAATGAGTTGGACAGTCTGGTCGACCACATCACTGACCAAATACGCCAATTGATCGGTTGTCGAGTATTTCCTAATAATGTTTAATATTGTGTTTGAAAAGTAAATACAAATTTGAAAATGTGTGTCAAATACCTGACCGCCAGGTGTGCCACACGTCGTAAGGCCTGCCATTTGGGTCCAAAGTCGGCGAATAAAATATCAGTGTATTTATCATTAGACACTAATTTGCCTAAAATTTAATACATTTTATGAATTTAGTAAAATGTTATGTAATATAATTTTTAAGTTTGTGTTTTCTTACCAAACATGGAGTCAGGCCTACCGGACAACTCATTGCGATTGAAGGACTCTTTAGCTAAATCCAAGTCCAGTACAAAGACGAAAGGGTTGGGACCCATCCATAGGGTGAACACCGATCCGTACTTTTTGCTCATTTCTATGATTTGTAGACTATGTTGAACTTTTGTGCCCCGAAATACTGTCAATAAAATAATTTTAACAAATAATTTCAAATTATAAAATAAATTAGGTATGTACTTACGCAATAGATTGCCCACAATGGGTAGTGGTATGGGACCGGGCGGTAGGCTCTTAATTTTCAGGTAAAATTTAACAAAATAATACACTAAATAGCCTAGTATCAGGCTTAATATTGTTGTACATAGGTCTTTGTATAGGAATTGAAAACAGCTTACAATATTTAATAACATTTTCTAATCAATTCAATGACTTTACAAAATATAAACACAGAATTCAAATGAATCCGTTTGTAGAGATTCTGTTGTTTATATAGTTTTGTGTTTGAACTGACTGTCCATTTGACGTCAACACCAATAGAAAGGCACAGAAATTACACAAACTTTCAGTAAAAGTATTGTAAAAATCAATAGAGATTCTGGCCTTGGATTCAATGTCACACAGAATTCATTGACACCTAAGGAATGGGTTGTTTTTATATGCCTTTCCTTGTAAGTGCAATATAACATTGAAATGAACATAAAATGATTGCATAAATAATTGTATTATAGTTTGAGTTTGAAAGTAAAAATACAAAAAGTTTTTTGTGCGGTAATAGTTTTGTATTTGGTGTTTATACAATATTTTTATTTATAAAACTGTTTTTAAACTTTTATTTCTATTATTAATAATAAATTATTTTTCAATTAATATAAATCAGGAGTTAAAATGATATGATTTAGATAATTAAATAATAATTAAACAATCAATAGATTCTTACACTTAAAAAGTAGTGTATATTCAAACTTAAGTTAATTGAGAAAATTAGACATAATTACAGATTTAAAAATTAAATTAAAAATTAGATTTAAGTATTATACAAACATAGATTTACAAGTCTAGAAATGTACTTGCTTTATAACACATTTTATGAAATAGTAATTTAATTGAGAGTTTAATAGCACTTAAAATCCTTATCCCCTCACAAAANAAAATTAGATTTAAGTATTATACAAACATAGATTTACAAGTCTAGAAATGTACTTGCTTTATAACACATTTTATGAAATAGTAATTTAATTGAGAGTTTAATAGCACTTAAAATCCTTATCCCCTCACAAAACAATTAAGGGGTAATTTGGAAAGTGTTCAAAATGTTGACAATATTTTAACATTTATTATCATTGGTAGAGTTTATTGACTTATATTAAATGCTAAATGAATTGAGTACACATTTTACGCATCCAAATACCTACTTGTGCCAATTATATGCTACCTGTCCTTGAAATGTACAGTTTTAGTGCACATTCAATGAAAATACATGCGTATCCCTAACAGAGAATCGCTATAATAAACAAAAAATATTATTTCATAGCATTCATAGTACTTTTGATGTGAATATTCTCTACATATAAATAGCGTTAAAACTTTCACCCGATTCTCAAACAAAACTTAAATTCTTTAAGAATCAAAAGAATTTGTAATTCTATGACAGAATCGTTGATACAAACAATGACTACTGAATCACTTGAAAAGCCTAATCACGTGAAAGACTCACTGGATTTTGACTTCAATAAGATTGAGTTGAGTAACGGTCCGACCCCTCCCGACATCAAC